ATTTCTCTCATGTCCCTTTCCACGCATCTCCTCCATGTTTCCCGTGGCCTACCCCTGCCTCGTGCTCCTTGTGGGTTCCACTGCAGTGACTGTCTTGTGATGTTTCCGCTGGGCTTTCTTAAGGTGTGTCCCATCCATCGCCACTTTCTTAATCCTATTTCTACTTCTATATCCTTTGTCCTGTCCTTTTCCCACAGCTCTTCATTTCTTATTCTATCCTGCCACTTAATTCTTAGAATACTCCTCATTCCTCATACATCTGTTGATGAAAGTCTGGACTTTATTCAGTACTGTCTTCGTTGTCTTCCAAGTTTCGCAGCCGTAGAGGAGCACAGACTTGATGTTGGAGTTAAAGAGTCGAATCTTGGTGTGCAGTGAGATGTTGCTTGCTTTCCAGACTTTTGATAATTGCTTGAAGGCTGACCTTGCCTTGGCGGTTCTTGCTTTAACATCTGCCTCAGTTTCACTTTTACCATCGATGACACTTCCAAGGTAGGTAAAGGAGTCCACTTCTTCCAGGGGAGTGTCTTCCACTGTCACAGCAGAGCTCGAAACTTTTCCTACCTTCACTACTTTTGACTTGCCTGGATGTATGCGTAGGCCAACACTTCTTGATAGGCTGTTGAGTTCCTTGGTCTTTTCTAGCATCTGAGCATGAGTGTGAGAGAGCAGTGCAAGGTCATTGGCGAAGTGTAAGTCGTCCAGCTGCTGCCAAGGGATCCATTGTATTCCATTACATTTGCCTCTGGTGGCTTCTTTCATGACCCAGTCAATTGCCAGTATGAAGATAAAAGGTGAGAGCAAGCATCCTTGTCGCAGTTGTCCTTCGTGGAAGACTTAGCAGTTTGTTCCATCATAGGTGGCCTTCACAAGCTTGACGATTTTCTCAGGTATTCCAAAATGCCGCATGAGTTTCCACAGAGTTTCCCTGTCCACGCTGTCAAACGCCTTTTCATAGTCAATGAAGCTGACCACGAGTGGTGAGTTCCATTCAAGCGATTGCTCAACAATGATGCGCAGAGTAGCGATCTGGTCCACACATGATTGGTTTTTGCAGAATCCTGCCTGGTTTCC